AAAAGACAACTGGAATTTCTTGGTGTTTTCTTCGAAGACGTTTTGCTTCTCATTGCAAGAAGCTTCATCAGTTCTGATGGGGGGGGGAATGCCCCAGATTACTTTGGGTCTTCCCTTCCCTTTTCTTTCCTCTCCTTCTTCCTTTTCTCCCCTCCCTCCGTCTCTCTTTCTCTTTCTTCTTTCCTTTCCTTCTTTCTTTTTTCAGTCTTTCCTTCCTTCCTTCCTTTTGTTCCTTCCTTTCTCTTTCCCCCTCTCCTTCTTGCCTTCCTTCCTTCCTTGTTTTTCTTTCTTTTTTTTCCCTTCCTACCTCCCCTCTCTCTTTTTTTCTTCCTTCCTTCCTTTCTTTCCTCCCTCCCTTCCTTTCTTTCCTCCCAAGGGAGCCGTTGGGGGAACTCCTGAGCATGTGCAAAAGGCATGAAAAAAAAAGGATCTTCCTTGGGTGGGGGTGGCTCCTTCTTTGGGAGGGGGCAGGCTGGATTTGGGGGGTCTTTAACCCCACCTCTTTGGGGACACCCGAACCCCCTTAATTGACAGCTTCAAGGGCAGGAGGCTTCCTGAACATGTGCAGAAGACTCAACAATACACCGAGCATTTTGGGGAGGGGGCTGTTGGGAGCAGCAGGAAGGATCCCCCTTGGGAGGCGGGAAGATGGCTCCTTTTGGTGGGGGGGGGGGCAAGTTGGATTTTGGGGGGGGCTTTAACCTCCAGATGGGATGCCCTCTCTTTGGAGACCCCCCAAATTCTCTGATTGACAGCCTCAAGTGGTGGGGCATGAGGGTTCCTGAGCATGTGCATAGGGCTCAGCAAGGCACAACACACACACACACACCAATTTGGGGAGGGGGGAGCAGCAGGCAGGATCCCTCTTGGGAGGGGGGAGGGCTGTCAATTTGCTTCTTTTTGAGGAGGGGTCTTTAGGGGGGCATTGGGGGGACATGGCTGGCTTGTGGGGTGGGGTGGGGGCTCCAGAAGCCCCAGCTGGGCTGCTGCCTCTTTACGGACCCCCCCGAACTCCTGATTGACAGCCTCAAGGGAATGTCAAGAAGGTCCCTGAGCATGTGCAGAGTGCTCAACAATGCAACCCCCCCCCCCAATTTGGGGAGGGGGCTGCTGGGAGCATCAGCCAGGATCCCTCGGGGGGCGGGGGAAGCTGTCAGATGGCTCCTTTTGTAGGGGGAGCAGTCTAGGGGGCCTCTAGATGCCCCAGCTGGGCTGGTCTCTTGGGAGACACCCCACGAACCCCCTGATTGACAGCCTCAAGGAAGTTTCAAGAGGGCTCCTGGGCATGTGCAGAAGGTATGCAAAAAAAAAAAAGAAAAAAGAACCCCCGTTGGAGAAAGGGGGATGAAGTTTGCCCTGCAGTTGTTAAATGAGTCACCCGGTTGTTAAGTGAATCGGGCTTCTCAGAAAGTTGCAAAAGGGGATCGGGTGATTCCGGCACACTGCAACCATCATAAATACGAGTCGGTTTGCCCAGCGTCCAGATTCTGATCATGTTGACCATGGGAATGCCACGACGGTCATAAGTGTGAGACACGGTCCTAAGTTCCCCTTTGTTCAGGGCCGTTGTACCTTGCAACAGTCAATAAATGGACACGCAACCGTCATCAATACGAGACACTTGCCGAGCGCCCAAATTTTGATCACGCGACAGTAGGGATTCCGCGATCGTTGTAAGTGCGAACAATGGCCCTAATTGTTGATTGGGGGCGGGGAGGCGTATCTTCGAGCCATTGCTAGCGGGATGGTTCTAAATCAAGGACTCCCAATCATGGTCTGTCCGTTCTCTTCCGGGTTATCCCCGGCCACGCTTTTCCCTTCCGTCGTCGTTGAACACGGGCGCTGACTTTCTGATCTTCCTCCCCGGCTAGGCGTGGGAATGGGAGGTGGAGCCTCAACACCTGGCACCCTTCCAGCCTCCTGCCCTCTTCGACCAATCAGCTGAGCGAGAGATCTACCCAGCGGCCGAGATCTCCCTCTGGACGGTGGTGGCTGCCCTCCAAGCGGTGGAGAGGAAGGCGGACACCTCGGCCACTCGCCTGCTCAACCTCGAAAGCCGTACGGCCACGGCCGAGAAGAAGATCTTCGAGTGCGAGAAAACGGAACTCGAACTCGGCAGCCACCTGGCGGCATTGGGCACCCTGATCCAGGAGTACCGGGCGCTCCAACGGCGCCTGGAGAACGTGGAGAACCTCCTGAAGAACCGCAATTTCTGGATTCTCAGGCTCCCCCTCGGCCCGAAAGGGGAGATCCCCAAGGTAAAACAAAAGAAGCACATGAATGGGTGCGAATTCCGCCTGCGCCTGGTCGGGGGGCTCGCTCCGTGCCGTGGTACGGGGTCTCTAACCAGGGGAATTTTAAGGCTTATGGACTTCAACTCCCAGAATTCCTCAGCCGGCCTTGCCAGCTGAAGAATTCTGGGAGTTGAAGTCCATAAGCCGTAAAATTCCCCTGGTTAGAGACCTTGCACCATGGGACCGAGCGAGCCACCTGTGTCACCCTGAATGTATCCACAGTCGGCCAGCATGGCCGGCTGGGGGATTATGGGAGTTGGAGTCCTCCCCTCTTAAAGCATGGCTGGCTGGGGGATGCTGGGAGTTGGAGTCCTCCCCTCTTAAAGCATGGCTGGCTGGGGGATTATGGGAGTTGGAGTCCATCCCTTTTAAGCATGCCAGCTGGGAAAAGGCTGTTCTTGGAAACTGGGAAGAAGGCGACCTTGGTGAGATGTTGGACGGCTGGGCTCCGATTTCAGGTCCCCGTGACGTTCGACGAGGAGCAAGCGGTGAATTTCTCCACGCCCGAATGGGCCAAACTGGAGGACTGGCAGAAGGACCTTTACCGGAACATCACGAGAGGAAGCTACGAGCCGCTGGTCTCTCTTGGTAAGAGCCGGGTTTGCCTGGGTGGGGGTGGGGGGGCGGGGGGTGGGATTCGTATCCTTGCTTTAGACCAGCCAGCTGCAGCCTACGACGGGGGACCAAACCGTTTGCCACCAGGCCATAGAAGTGGAACCATCCCCTCTTTCCTAACAATTAATCCCATGGGACCCCACTGTCTGTTTCCCCCTCCTCCTCCATCACCTCTTCTTCCTCCCTCCCCTCCGTCCCTCCCTCCCTGGTAGCACTGATGTTGTTACCTAGCTGAGTCATGAGATGTTTGCAAGGAAACCCTCCAGCTCAGAGAGCAACAAGGACGTCACAATCCTTTTCTTCCTTTCTTTTTTCTTTTCCTTTCTTTTCTTTCCTTCCTTCCTTCCTTCCTTCCTTCTTTTCTTCTTTTTCCTTCTCCTTCCTCCTCCTCCTTTCAGAATCAGAAGCCTTTATTGGCCAAGTGTGATTGGACACACAAGGAATTTTGTCTTTGGTGCAAATGCTCTCGGTGTCCATAAAAAGAAAAGAGACATTCGTCGAGAGTCAGGAATCATAGTCAGAGGGTACAATAAGCAATCAAGTCATACTAGGAAACAGTCAGTATAGATCGTAAGGATACAAGCGACCAAGTTACAGTCCTACAGTCACAAGGGGAGGGGATGGATGATAAGGAGTGGTAAGAAGATTAATAGTAATGCAGACTTTGTAAATAGTTGGACAGTGTTGAGGGAATTATTTGATTAGCAGAATGATGGCATTGGGGATAAAAACCGTCCTGGTGTGTCTAGTTGTTCTGGTGTGCAGTGCTCTATATAGCGTCGTTTTGAGGGAAGGAGTTGAAACAGTTTACGTCCGGGAGGTGAGGGGTCTGTAAATATTTTCACAGCCCCCTTTTTGACTCAGGGTCCTCAATTTCAAACTCTCCTCCCTTCTAGCACTATTTGGGTCATGAGATGAAACAGATAGCCGATAATCAGCGTTGGAAGGGGCCTTGTAGGTCATCTAGTCCAACCCTCTGCCCGAGCAGGAGACAGATGGGAGTCCAATCTCTTCTTGAAATCTCTTTGTCTGCAATGAAACCACTAAGCTCAGAGAGCACCAAGGACCCCACTGTTTGTCGTCATCGTCCTCTTCCTCCTCCCTATGAACCTCCCACTTTTCTAGCGCTGATGTTGTTCCCTAGTTGGGTCACAAGACTTCTGCAAAAAACAAAAACAAAATACAGCCAGCTCAGAGAACAGCAAAGACACCCCCCCCCTCTGGGAGGGGCCATTCACCATCCCACATGTGGCTTTACTCCCGAGTTGACCCTTGTTCCTTGACTGTTCCCTTCTCCTGGCAGCTCTGCGCATGGGCACACTGGGAACAGGCTCCAGCTGTTCTTCTTCCCCACTTATCTCCGACTCAGAAGGCAGCTGATAACTGTCAGAGGGCCCTGGCCCCGTATCTGCCTCTGACACAGAGCCCTCCAGGACTGGCCCATGTTCCTCCACCACCTCCTCACTGTCCGAGTCTGCCGACTGCTCCGCCAGCTGCCGGTGGGCCACAAGAGATCCCTTTCCGTCGGCTTAACCTCTCTTCTTTCTTTTTCATTCTGCAGACTCTGCCATCGCCAAGGCTGATGTCCTTGCCCCCCAGGTGGGTCCGGGGTCAGTGCCCCACGTTGTGGATCAGCCCTCGGCGGGGGGAAAGGGACTCCCCCCGACACCCAAACTAGGTGCGTGAAACAATCGAACGGGGCGGCTTTCACTTTGCAAATTTTTCCTCCCGATTCCAGTGGGTTTGAAATCTTGGTTCCTTTTCTTTTTTTTTTTAACCCATTTGATAACCCATCTGATCATTCTTTGAAGCCCACCCAACCCACCCCTAATTCCTGGGGAGAAAAGGGGACCTTTCCTTGGGAGCAAGGGAAGTAAAAATCACAGGGTCTAAAAAAGGGACCTTGGAGGTCTTCTAATCTCACCCCCTTTCCCAGATGACTGAATTTGGTGGGAGGGGGTCTCCAAGAGCAGAGCTTTCCCCCCTCCCCACTTCAGGCCAACAATGGGGTACCTTGCAAGCATCGGGGCTCCTCAGGCTCCCCAAGAGGCGGGATAGGAGTTGGTCCATCTTCAGAAGCATTCTTGACGGCCTCAAAAAGATGAGCTACTTACGGCCTGGGTCTGTCAATATAGACCCCCCCACCTGCAGACATTTCACGACCCAGCTAGGTAACCTCCTCAGTGCCGGAAGGGAGCAGGGTTTACAAAGAACAGGAGGAGGAGGAGGAGAAGAAAGGGGGGAAGGCTGTGGGGTCCTTGGTGCTCTCTGAGCTGGGTGGTTTCCTTGCAGACATTTCATGAGCCAACTAGGGAACATCATCAGTGCTAGGAGGGAAGATTAGAAACCATATCCTGTTCCTTTCCAGCACTGCTGTTACCTAGTTGGGTCATGAAATGTCTGCAAGAAAACCACCCAGCAGAGAGCACCAAAGACGCCACAATCCTTATCTTTTTCCTCCTTTCTTTCTTGTTCTCCTCCCTCCTCCTCCTCCTCCTTTCAAACCCTCCTCCCTTCTAGCACTGATGATGTTACTTAGTTGGGTCATGAAACGTCTGCAAGAAAACCACCCAGCTCAGAGAGCCCCAAGGACCCCTCATTTCAACCCCGAGACACAAAAATCTTCTCTTCTGTCAATAGCTTTATCTTCTATCAGCGGTGCCTCAGATAGAAAGTCCCTACAGAGAGTGGCAAGGACAGCGGAGATGACGATAGGAAGCTCACTTCCCGCCATTCAGGATGCTGCTTCTAAGCGCTGTGAGCTCAAAGCTCTGTTAGAGACGGTCTGTTTCTGTCGCTCCCTTCTGGGAAGAGGGTTCGAAGTATTTCTAGCAGGACTTCCCGATTCTTCGTTCTGTAGGCCATCGGTCCGGTTAACTCACAGGATTCGTTTCTCTCGCCATGTAGACATACACATCCGAACTAGACTGTGTTGTTTCTCTGTGTTATGCAATATATGTGGGTATATGCATAACTTTGTATTTATTTATTTTAGTCACATTTACGCAGTGTATAGTAGAGGTGGAGACCCTTTGACGAAATTTAATTTTAACGTACGCCGATTGGTCTACCTTCCAAGTGACAATAAAGTTGTTTTGTAGTTCTATTTCGGTACCTACCTGTCATCCTCCTTCCTAACAGCAGAACCGTTGACTTCCAAAGACGACCTCTTGTCCTGGATTAAGCAGGAGGAACCTCCCGGCCCCAGGAAGTGGAATCTGGAGAGAGAGTTCCCTGCCACTCTCGGTTACGGTGAGTCTGGTCGAATGGTCGCAGGCCTCCAAGGGAAGCCATCATGCCACCGCCTTGGACGTTGAAATCATCACGCTTCCTGGCATGGTTGACTAGGGGGTTCTGGGAGTTGGAGTCCAGTTCTCTTAAAAGCATGCTGACTGGGGGATTCTGGGGGATTCTTGAGGTCCGCTTCAAAGCAGGCTAGCTTGGGAATTCTGGGAGTTGAAGTCTACCATTTGTAGAGCACGAGGACTGGAGAATTCTGGCAGTTGGTCTGCCTGTCTTCAAGTGCCCAGGTCTGAGTAACAGGCCTTCAAAACATTTGCCCACCCCCTTTCTCCTCCTCCTCCTCCTCCTCCTCCTCCTCCTCCTCCTCTTCTTCTTCTTCTTCTTCTCCTCCGCCTCCTCCTCCTTCTCCTTCTTCTTCTTCTTCTTCTCCTTCTCCTTCTTCTTCTTCCAAAGACAACCTCAGACATTAACTCTCCTTCGCTGCAAAATCTGTCCCTTTAAGGATTCCCTTGGACTGGGTTCCAGCTTCTGCCGCTGTCTTAACGGAGTTGTTTCCCCACCCACCCCGTTCTCCTCTCTTCCAGACGAGAGCGCCAGAGTCAAAAGCGAGGAAGAGAAGCTCCAAGCAAGTTTGAAACAAGCCTTGCCTGCCCGGCTCCCTGGAGCACTCAGTGACGAGGTCTTCCAGGCCCCCAGGTGCTGCCAGAGGCAAAGCTGCCCTCAGGGCCAACCTCCTCCCCCTCCCCAAAAGCCACCAGAGGAGCCACCCCACCCCAGTGAGAGAACCTGCCCCCAACCCGAGGCCCCTCCGCCAGCAGCCTGCTTGAAGGAAGGCCAGCTGAGATGCTTCAAGGGTCTGGATGAGCTTTCCTTGCCTCCAAGGATCCCCGTGGGAGAGGAAGTGTACGGGGGAGGGGTCAGGCCAGGGACCGAGCCCAGTGCCCCCCAGGTCCCGGAGCCCTACCTGTGCCCGGAGAATAACAACAGCTTCGGCGACGTGGCCGCCTCCGAAACAGCCGGCCGGCCGCACGCCTGCTCCCTCTGCCCAAAGAGTTTCCGGCTCAAGACCAGCCTGCTGATCCACCAGAAGACCCATGCCATGGGGAAGAGCGACAGCCCCTTTGTGTGCCCCGAGTGTGGCTGCGGTTTCAGCCACCAGGCTCAGCTGACTCGGCACCAGGCCATCCACGCTGACCGGCCGCACCAGTGCTCGGAGTGCCACAAAGCCTTCAAACGCAAGTCCAGCCTGGTGGTTCACCAGAAGACGCACCGTGAGCGGCCGCGCCCCTTCCAGTGTCCCCAGTGCAACAAGACCTTCATCAGGAAACAGCACCTGGACGACCACACCCGCACCCACACGGGGGAAAAGCCCTACCAGTGTCCCGAGTGCGAGAAGCGCTTCGCAGAGAAATCCAAGCTCACCAACCACTACCGGATCCACACTGGGGAGCGGCCCTACCGCTGCGGGCAGTGCGACAAGCGCTTCGTACGCGCCCACCACCTGGTCAAGCACCAAAGCAGCGTCCATCAAGCCGGGGCTAAGCTGTACTCCTGTCGCGAGTGTGGGCAGAGTTTCAGCCATTCCCAGGCCTTCCTCAGCCACCAGGCCAGCCACGCCAACGGCGAGAGGCGCCACCGCTGCACCGAGTGCCTCAAGACCTTCGCCCGCCGGAAGTACCTGCTGGAACATCAGCGCATGCATACGGGGGAGAACCCGTACGCCTGCCCGCACTGCGGCAAGCACTTCCGATACAAGCAGTCCCTAAAGCAGCATCTGCGCATGCACCGGGAGCAGCTGCCCCCACCGCCTGGGCCCGCTGTGCCAGCCAGCCTGCCAGTCACCCACCCGCTAGAGAGAAACTCTCTCTTTGAGGCCAACCCTCCCATCGGGACCTGAAGCTGGACCCCAAGTGGTCTTTTGTGCCAAATGAACCGCTGGGCTAGAATTGGCCCGCTGGTGGGCCAGCTGAGATCCTCACCACCTTCCGTGGGGCAGCCCCAGCGCTTCTTCCCTCCCCATGGAGAGGCCTCCTCCTTGCTTGCCTGATCCAGGACCGTGGGGGCCCTGTGGAATGAGCCCAGCTCCCAGCATTCGAAACACGCCAGCTGTCCTGAACCATTTCTTCGATGGAGAGACGGCTGTCGAAAGACGCTCCTTGTGCTGCATTGCACTGCGAGTCCTGGCTGAACCGGGTTGGGGGGGGAAGAATCACGCCCAAAATGTGGTGTCCACTTACCCTCTTGGCTCCATTACCTGGTCTAGCACCGAAGGCCGGCCTGATGGAGCCAAAAGGATGTGGTTCCCTCACCTCCAGGGAGGAGAAAGACGCAGACACCGAGGTTGCCGCGCACGGCTGTGATTTTCCACCCTGCCCTCCACACTTTGCTCGACGATCAGAGGTGCAGCGGGTACGAAAGACAGCCGGGAAGTCGGAATTGACTGTCCCCGCCGCCTGTCTCCCTTCTCCAGTGGGCCGTGCGGGGCAGCGATCCGTGGCCAAACTTCAGGACATCTCCACCTTCTCGGTCCGCTCCTCAGAGATACCCTTGTTTCACTGCTGTCGATCAAGTTGCATTATCAAACTCCTGGTTTACCGTTTTTCGGCCGGTGTTGACCTGTGCCGAAAAGCTCTTTTTGCTGAAGGCTTTGGCTGTGCTTTTCAATGTGGTACATTTATCGCCCAGACTGGACGGGCTCCTGGTTCTTCTCCCCTCTCTGCCCGTTCAGACACCGGCATGAAATCTCGAGTTTTGCCTTGTCGCTCCAAATTCTTTTGTCACCAAGAGGATGTAGCCTTCACATCACTCTCTCCAGCCCTGAAAATACGCGCCCGCCCCCCCCAAAAAAGAGAGTACTCAGAAGCGACCCTAAAATCATGGCCATAAACCGAAACCTCCAGCCCGCTTCCACACCAGGTTCTCACTACCTTAAATCCAACTGTATTACAGGTAGTTCTCGATTTACAACAGTACCCGTATTCCTCTTTAATACAGGTAGTCCTCGACATACAGCAGTTCCTTTCGTGACCGTTCAAAGCTACAGTGGCGTGAGAAAAGTGACTTATTACCGTTTTTTCACAAATACAACTGTTGCAGCCTTGCCAGGGTCGCGGGACTCAAAATTTAGGCACTTGCAAACTGGCGTGTGCTTATAACAACTGCAGTGTCTCTTGACCCTTTTGCGACCTTCCGACAAGCAGAATCAATGGGGAAGCCAGATTCACTTAACAACCGTATGACTGAGGAACTGCAGTGATTTATTTGATGACGGTGGACAGAAAAGGTCGTAAAATGGAGAGAAATGTAAACCAGGGGAAAAGACTGCGTCCCCCAGCGCAGGGGTATCAAACTCTGGGCTCACGGGCCAGATCCAGCCTGCAGGGGCTTAGATCTGGCCATCCTGGAAACAGCAAAGGACCTGCCTGTGGTGCCTCTGTCAGCGAAAACGGAGCTCAGGAGGGCCGCAGGTGGCCCTCCTGAGCTCCATTTTTACTGGCAGAGGGTTGCAGGAAGCTGTCGCATCTGGAAATGGGAGCTCGGGAGCCGGCAGAGCGCTTGGGCCACCACAGGTACCCCTGACACGAGTGATGGCCACACCAACCCTGATCACACCTACCACAACCCTGATGTACCCCTCAATGAAATTGAGTTTGACCCCCCCTGCCCTAGTGGCATCTTGCAAAGTGGTAAGTGGTCCCAAAGTTGAGTGCAAGCAAGTTGGATTATCCATCCGATACTCTGGAATGAGGTGTTACCAGGCCCACCCTTCCAAGGTGCCACAACTGTGTGTAGATAGTATGTGGAGCAGGAGGAGACAGCAATTGCTACCAAGCCTATCCTTGCTCCGTTCTATGTCTGTTGGCCAAAACACGGATGCATGGCTTCCTAAGGCCCAATACAGGTAGTTTTTGACTTATGACGAGTTGCTTAGTAGCCATTTGGAGTCACAACCAGCCTTGAAAAGTGGGCTTACAACTCTGATCCAAGTTCCGGCAACTGCCCTCTTGTGTGGTCATATCATCACTCATTGAGCTGTTGGCAATACGGCTGCAGCATCTCACGGAGACATAACTGCATTCAGCAAAGGTTTTGTTGAACACTGGTACTTAATTTCCGCTTTTGGGCAAAACAGTGCCATGGCAAAATGAGGGATTCACTTACCGACTGCAGTGATATGCCGAACTGAGTTGACCAAATAAATTGTACTACGTGTGATACCAAACTGGCATTTTGCATCCATTTTCCCATACAAGGCAGATAGTTCTTCCTACAGAAACTTTTTTTCAACCCTTTTGACTTTTCCTGATACAACAACACAGCTTCCAGTACATCACACACACACACACACTTTCTCTGATTATTATCAAGGGGGAAAATATAAGGAGACCATTTGGTCTAGTGGTTAAGGCACCAGGTCAGGAAGCAGGAAAGTAAGTTCTAGTCCTGCCTTAGACATGAAAGTTGGCTGGGTGACTTTGGGTCACTTGCCAGAAGATGTGAGTTCTAGTTCTGCCTTTGGCACGAAAGCTGGCTAGGTGACTTTGGGCCAATCCTGGTGATTACCCATACCATCTTTATGATTTAAGGTGGGATTAGAACTCACCATCTCCTGGTAGTTGGCCAGTCAGCCAACCAGCTTTCACGCCTAAGGGGATGAGAACTCACTGTCTCCTGGTGATTGGCTCAAAGTCACTCAGCCAGTTTTCACGCCTTAGGTGGGGCTAGAATGGTTTCCTGGTCCAAAGTCACCCAACCGGCTTCCACACCTAAGATGGGATTCTTGGTCAGCACCTTAGCACAATTATGTGCAAACTATTAAAACAATTATTTTAGCAGAAGACCAATATATAAGCAATCCTGGTTTAGGGACCACTCTTGGGGCCAACAACTCAGTCACTAAATAAAGCAGTCCATAAGTGTGTGGGGGGGAAATCACAATTTTACTTTTTCCATTGATATGCAATTTAACTTATAATTCTTCCTTTCATACTCAACTTCTTTTAGCCTTCAATGAACCTAGCTACATTTTTTTCATGTTTCAAAACATCTTTATTTCTAAATAAATCAATTTTGTCCTCCAATGAACCAAAGATTTTAAAACATCTTTGATCTAACATGTATTATTATTATTCTTAAGCGCCATCATGTTGTATTACAGTACAAAAATAAAAGAATACAAAAATCAGTGTTTACAATTACAGTACTGTACCTGTAAACATCTATAGAAATCCCCTTCCAAAGATTAGTCTTCGCTGCGTTTTTGGAAACGTTTGGACACTGAGACCGAGAAGGCTAGTGAACCGAGAATCTTCTGGCATCTCCCCTTTTTCGTGGGGAGGAAGGAAGAGGTGAGCAAGAAATAACTGTCCGTAAAGAATTCACTAAGTTTTCTTTGCACGTTTTTTTTTCTTCATCTCATTTATTTCCCTAGAACAAATGCATTCCTGACATAGCTTTCAAAAAATGTTCTACATTAGAATCCATACTTAATTTTCACGATGTTTCATTAACACGAGAAAACACCTATTGATACTTCCTGGGCTCCCGATGTAACGTTCCAAAATGTTCTACATTTCGATCCATACTCCCTAATTTTCTTAACATTTCATTAACATGAGAAAACACCGATCAATATTTTCACATGATCAATATTTTCACACGAATCTTCCTGGGCTCCTGATGTAACTTTCCAAAATTTTCTACATTTCGATCCATACTCCCTAATTTTCATTAATATCTGAGAAAACACCGGTCGATATTTTCACATGAACTTCTTGGGCTCCTGATGTAATTTCCTTAACATTCTAAATTTAGATCCGTATTTCCACACACGCTTCCTGGTCTCCCAATGTAACTTTCCAAAATGTTCTTACACTTGGATCTATATTTCCTAATTTTCGTACCGCTTTGTTAACATCCAAGAAAAACGCCAGTCAATAGTTTCGCCCTGAATTTCCTGAACTCAAGTCTAGAATTTTATTTCTTCCTCCTCTTCCGCAAGGCCCTGGGCCTCCAATTCTTCTTTCAACTCGATCAATTCTTCGTTGGAAAGCTCTCCCTCGGGGTAGGCGATCCATTTTTTCACGTCTTCCGCATCTGCCTCTAAACTGAGGGCTTGGGTGAGCATCAAAATGTTGTGACTGATTTCCTCCAAATCTTCGTTTGGGTCAAAGCCTTCGAAATTATGGACGAGGAGAGCAAAACGTTTTAAGCACCGTTCCCAAATCCCTTGCATGCATTTCAGGCTGACGTCCTTCCAGGCCGTCGCGATGTTTTCAATACAGTGGCTGATATCATACGCTTTCCAAAACTCGCGTAAGATCACCCCGCTGTCCTCCGTTGCGGCGACAGCCATGGCCAGCGTGGCCCGTAAATAGCACGCTTTGAAGGTCGAGACAGCTCCCTGATCCATGGGCTGCAGGAAAGGGCTGGTGTTTTTTGGTAGATAAACGACTTTCACGTCTGGGTGGACATTGTCCAGGTGCAGGGGATACCCAGGGGTGTTGCTGAGGAGCAGAAGAATTCTAAAAGGGATTCTGTTTTGAAAACAATATTCCTGCACTTGGGGGATGAAGCAATTCACAAACCAATCCTCGAAGAAGACTTGGGTCATCCAGGCCTTCTGATCGGATTGGTAATAAACGGGCAGGGTCTCCTGGCAGATATTTTGGCACACGAGAGGATCTTCCGATTTGTGAATCAGAAAGGGCTTCAGCTTGAATCCAGCGACGTTTCCACCCAAGAGCAAAGTGATCCTGTCCTTAAAGGCTTTGTATCCAGGCATGGCTTGGGCCTCTTGGTGAAGGTAGGTCCGTTCTGGCATTTTTTTCCAGAATAACCTGGTTTTGTCCACATTGAATATCTGTTCGGGCAAATAGTTCCCTCCTGTGACGAGATCGTCCAAGTCATCGAGGAAGCGTTGGGCTGCTATTTTGTCGGCATCCGTGGCTTCACCTGGCGGGTGCGCAGTGTGGTAATTAAACCTTCGCTGGAACCGCATGAACCAGCCGCGGCTGGCCGTGAACGTTTCAGTGCACTCCTCGCCCGCTCGTTCCTTCAGGGTGGCGAAAATGCTGCGCGCCTTGGCCTGAATGAGCGGGAGGCTGATGGGAATCCTCTTCTGGATCTGATCCTCGATCCAAAGCATCAGGAGTTTCTCTGTTTCGTGGATGAGGCCTTTGCGCTGCCTGGTGATGATGGCTTTCGTCCCCGGCGATCCCTTCATGGCTTCCCTGATCCGCTCCTTGTTCTTCAAAATGGTGGAGATGGTGGAATGGGCCAGGCCTTCTTCTTGAGCGATGATGTTCACCTTCTTCCCGGCGTCGTAGGCTTTGATGATCTTCATCTTCAAATTCAGACTGATGGCCTTCCTGTGCTTCTTGCTGCGCTCTTCGGAGGAACTGTGGCCTTTTCTCTTCCTCTTTGAGGACATGGCAAGCGAAAATAAGAGCCCGTTGCAAAATACTGTAGACAGACAGAGAGAGAGACAGAAATAAGAAATAATTTAAAAAATAGTTCAATTGTTTGAGAACAATTTAAGTTCAGTTTTAGGTGGGAGAAGCGCAAATATATATTTTCCTGATTTGGTAACAATTTCACCCCCTGGATCCAAGTATGTAAATCAGGTGTCCAATCTTGGCAACTTTTAAGACTTGTGGACTTCTTCTCCCGGAATTCCCGAGACAACAAATACGTGGATCATCACGACAATTGGGAGCACAGTGGCTTGTGAGGTCAGGATGCTAGGTTGGAGGTCAGGAAGCCTGCGTTTGAGACCCGGTGCTCTAGGGCGGGTTGAGTTCCTCCCGTCTTTCCCTCCAGCTCCTGTCGGTCTCCAAGTGGGCACCTCCCCTGGCAACGGTGATGTCACCGGCTAATCTGGTCAATACAGAAGTCCCTTGATGCTGCTGACATGAGCACGATGCAATCAAGCCAATCAACCCAGACTTCTCCCTCAAAGCACAAATGAACAGGCTTAAATTATCATATTATGCAATAATTCCGCTTGCTTGGATAGTCCATCAGGGCAGGAAACGCAGAAGGAAAGAAGAGAGGAGGACAACCAACACAAGGTGAATAAACTCAGAGCAGTCACGGTTGCATTACTGGAACAGCTGAAGGGCCAAATTATGCTGGAGGAGGCATAATTAATGGCCATTAACGGCCAACACTACCATTGTTAATGGTCATTAATAATGACCGATATCAATGGCCAACACTACCTTGATGGCACACAATCAAATCAAGGATAAATTGATTCCTCCAAGCACAATGGTTTGTCGAGTTGCCACTGAGCCCAGTACAAGTTATCCTCAACTTAACCACCGTTTAGTGACCGTTTGGAGTTACAACGGCAGTCAAAGAAGTGACTTATGCTTATTTTTCAAACTTACGAGTGTTGCAGCACCCCTGTGGTCACATGATCAAAATTCGGTAATTGCCCTGTATTTATGACAGTTGCAGCATCCTGGGGTCAAGTGATCGCCTCTGGCGACCTACTGACAAGCAAAAGGGGAAGCCAGATTCACTGAAAAACTCTGTTACCAATTTAACAACTCTGGTGATTCACAAAAACCGTGGGGAAAGGGCGTAAAATGGGGCAACCCCCCCCCTTAAGTGTGAGCAATGGAAATATTGGACTCACGTCGCGGTCGTAATTCAAGGACTACCTGAAGCAGATCCTACCCTCCCCAACCTCTGCTCCTTGACCTTCTTGACCAGGACTTGCGGGTTTCCTACCCCACACCCTGGAAAGGTGGGGCTACGGAGGTCAGTTCAGTGGGGAGACCACATCTCAACAAGGAAGCTACCATCACATCCAAAAAGGACATCAGAAGAACCCCAAATTCTCCCCTTACCTGGGCTAGGGCCTTCCCCAAAGAACAAGGAGTCCTGAGCACACGGGTCTTCCTGAAGTCCACAGAGATGTTCCTCAGAAATGGTAATGGTCTGATATTCTGTCAGGAAAGAAAGAAAAAAAGGAAAGGGAGGGAGAGAAGGAGGGAGGGAAGGAAGGAAGGAAGGAAGGAAGGAAGGAAGGAAGGAAGGAAGGAAGGAAGGAAAAAAAAGATGGAAGAGAAAGGAAAGGAAGGAAGGAGCGAGGGAGGGAGGAAAACAAATATGTAAGGGCTTCCCAATTTATTACCTTGATGAAATGCACAATATCTGAAAATCCAACCCCCATGGGCACTGAGGACAGGAAGAGGTCTGAGGATCTTAGACCAGCTTAACCGATTGTGGGGCCCTTGGTGCTCTCTGAGCTTGGTGGTTTTCCTGTGGACATTTCATGACCCAACTAGGTAATATCATCAGTGTAACAAGGGAGTGAGGTTTCCTCTTTAACCTCATTCCCTTCGATCACGGATATCATGTTCCCTGGTTGGGTTATGAAACAACCAAGCCAACAACCAAGCTCGGAGACCACCAAGGACCACCCAGCCCCCCTCTTTCTACTCCTCTGCAGACCCCCACACTGCCTAAAGTACCGATGATGTTGCCTAGTCATGAAACATCTGCAAGAAAACCACCAAGCTCAGAGAGCACCAAGAACTCCACCCTTCAACCCCTGAGCTTCAACTATTATTCTACTGGTAACAAGGATACAAAATGAAGAAATATCTAGATACCACAGCCTAGTGGGACTTCAAACACGTGAGTTAAAAAGGAGCCATACTGTTGGAGCGATATGCAGACTCTGTAAACCGTTTCGCACATGTGCGCAGGGCTCCATCCTCTGTATCAAAGCTGATGAGCTGTGCTGTTTCTTAGCTCAGCTAAGGCGCGGCAATCCGCTTTGCGCTACGTATCAGCTGAGCTAAAACGCCAAGGGAATCTAGGAGAAGTGATGCTATACAGCTTACAACAGAGACAGGAGTTCTTACCCTCACTAGGATCGTACTGCACGTGGTCTCTGTGGGATTCCCCGGGGCCCAAGCACACCTCCTCCATCTCCTCTTTAATCCCTGAAGGTAGGTCTATATACTCCACTGAAGAACCTGAAGAACCAAAGAGAGGAAAACAGCGGCGTTGCTCTTCTCTTAACAACAAGGCATCTCATGGACCGGAAGATGCGCGCCGAAACAGAACCAAGGAAGCAGGACAGGAGGATGCGGCCTACGGCGTTCAGGTCAGGAAGATGGTTGGCCACAAGGTGAGATGAAGTGAAAGTGGATGGGACAGGGCTGGAGAAGGGCGCACTGAAACCAGGCAGGCTGAAGTATTTGGTCTAGGACAGGGGCGTCAAACTTCACTGAGGGCTGCATCAGGGTCGTGTTTGACCTGGGGGGGGGGATGGGCTTGGCCACCTCGACATTACTCTGGTCAGGGGCGCCTGTGGTGGGTCTGAACGCTGTGCCAGCGAAAACGGGCTCCCAAATGCCGTTCTCGGCTGCGATGGCCTCCTGCGACCCTCTGCCAGCAAAAACGGGGCCGGCCTTTTGCTGTTTCCATGGTGGCCCCGCGGGCCAAATCCAAACACCCTGTGGGCAGGATCTGGCCCCCGCGCCTCGACTTTGACACCCTGGGTCTAGGAGGTCGTGGAATGGTATCAAGGGATAGTACTGGAGGGATAGTGTAAAGGAAACAAGTGCAGGGGGTTTAAATTAATGTTCAATTAGAATTTCAGCAGATAGGTGCCTATTTAGTTAGCTATTAAGGTGCTGCCCCAAGATCAGGAGACAATGAATTCTAATCCTGCCTTAGGCATGAAAGCTAGCTGGATGACTTTTTGGGCTTATTACTAGGAGACGGTGAGTTCTAGTTCCACTCGGGCATTAAAGCCAGCTGGGTGACTTTGGGCCAGTCCCTCTCTCCCAACCCAACCCACCTCACAGGGTCACTGTGGGAAAAATAGGAAGGGGAAGGGGCATTAGAGGTGTTCCCCACCTAGAGTTACTTATAAAGAAATCAAAGCTAATATATAAATAACAAATAAGCAGTAAGGAGATGCCCGATTCATCCATATAAGCTTCCCATTTCTCTCCAGAATACGTCATTCCGACACGGTCCGGAGGGAAACAAGATCCTGGAATGTTCATCTCCTGGGTCAACAAATTTCGGGTCAATGAGGAGGACTGGCCCTTATTTGGGGGAGGAAGCAGCTCCTTTCTTTCTATGCCAACCACAACTCCAAGACACCAGCTGTTCACCCTCGTGAAGTCCAGCACCAATCTCCTCAGGAGGCCTGGCATTGCCGCTGCCTTGAGGCCCTTCTGCTTCTTCCTTCAGCCACAAAGAAACATCGACTGGAGCAACGGGGGACTCTGAGGGGAGGAGGAAGAAAAGGGTTGCCATAAGCCCCCGAGGTCAAAGCCCGCGCAGTCTGAAGGGGACCAACCCTTGAAGTATCCACCCAGGTTCAAAATGAGGCGGTCGGCCTGCTTTCGGGCAAGCCGAGATTTGCAAAGAGATCTTATCATTTAGCTGATTTGCTTCGGCACTCAATTCATGGTCAAAGCCCGTATTATCATCTTCTTCCGATGACCCCGTCATCCCATGCGGGGTGGAGTCTGGGCAATGGAACGGAGCAGAGTGTTTTAATGGATGGGTGCCATTCCCATCGCCAATGAAGAGATGGATTCCGATTGTGCCCAGAGCGAAAAATAACAGCTTCTACCTAGGATCGAACTCACAGCCTCCTGAGAGCTCCACCTCTAGGCTGCCGTACCACTCTTGTCAAAACCCTATCTTGGCTGGTTATTTGAAGGACCAAGAGCACCAAGGACTCCACAGTCGTCCTCCATCTCCTCTGCTGCTGCTTCTTCCTCCACTTCACAGCTCCTCTACCTTCTATCATTGATGATGTTCCCTACTTGGGTCATGAAATGTCTGCAAGAAAACCACCCAGCTCAGAGAGCACCAAGGACCCCACAGTTCTCCTCCTCCTCCACCACCCCCATCCAGTCTTCCTCTTCCCTTCTAATGATGCTACCTAGTTGGGTCATGAAAAGTACAAGGAAACCACCAGCTTCAAACAGCGCCACGCCCCCCCACGCCCCCAACTGAGAGCAACCTACTCCTTATGAAAAAAGAGGATTTTTTTTAAAAAAAATTAAAGCTGTGTATTTCAAGAAACAGTGAATTTACCTGCGCCAGGCGGTGTCGGTGTGTTAATCCCAGGCATAGTGTCAATGTTTGTATCGCACAAGGCCTCTCCTTGTTCAATCCGGGTCAGGATCTCGGGCTTGGCAATCGCGTAATCTATCCAGGCGACAAATGAAAATATACTTGTTAACTGTGCCCACAATTTTTCGGGGAAAAACAAAATAAGTGGAAAAGACGACGTTGTCACATGCCATTCATTGCCACTAGAAATGGGGCGGACGTCCATCAGGCGGCCTCTTGCCCAAAACCATACAGGTCATCCTCGACTTACAACAGTTTGTTTACTGACTGTTCAAAGTTACAACGGCACTGGAAAAAGGGATTGATCAGTTTTCCCACTTACGACTGTCATAGCATCCCCGTGGCCACATGATCAAAATTCAGATGCTAAGCAACCGGTTTGTATTTATGACCATCGCAGTGTCCCGGGGGGAGGCTGTGATCCCCTATTGCAACCAGTGAAGTCGGGGGGTGGTGGTGGGAGGGGCGGATTCTTTTAACAATCAGATTCACTGAACAACCGTGTCACTAAGTGAACTGCAGGGATTCACTTAACACGGGGTCTGTAACTTGAGAAGGTTGAGGTGGATGGCGGGGGATGCCCTCGTAGAGACGGTGATGGCAAGGGGCGCGTTCTGCTGATCCCAGGGACATCGCAAAGTCCCTGGTCGATCCAGGAGAAGCCCTTCTACCATCGGCGGAGAGGCAGCCATTAAGCTGCTGAAGCTGGGACAGCTCCGGAAGGAAGAGGCAGAAGGAGAAAGGGTATCGGTTGGTGAGGACTTTTTTTTTTTTTAATTAATATTTGGGACTTAAGGACACCCTAAGAAGGAGAAGAAATCTGTAAGATTTTTGACAAAATTGATTTAGAGGCGATTTTTTAAAGAGGAATGTCAAAGTGAGGCTTGGCTTTTTACTTTTACTTTCCTTTTTACTGAACTTCTATCGCGATTTAGCAATTGTTAACTGGACTGGTTTTTTCGCTTATATCTACCTATTCTTTTTCTCCTTTTTGACTGTTTATATTTTTTAGAATAGAGGCTCCCTTTAGTAATTTTTTTTTTTTAAAATATATATATATATACATATATATATCTTCTTTTTCTATTATGCTTTTTCTGGGAAAGAAGGGGGAGTGGATTAAAGAAACTTTGTAACACTGCCGACTAGAGGCTTGAAAACTACTTTATTGGAAGCTGTGAGAACTGTGAAAAACTCTTTCTCAAGGACACTGGAACTTGATAAGATAGAGGGAAGAACACCGGAGAATGTTTTGGCAGGTGTTCTTTGGGACTTCTATCAACAATTGAATATTTGAAGCTTGGCTTTGAAATTTGTGGAGAAGCCATAACAAGAGCCTTGGACAATTAAATAAAACGCAGTGTGCTCTTTTGTTATTTTTTCTTAGCTGTCTTATCCCTCCTCTTCAATCCCATAATATTCTGTAGTAATTGTATATTTATTTTTTATTCATTTATTTTTTTTTCTTTGTAAAGGGAAAGCCTCAGAATAGCTTTTTCCTTTTCTTATTGGGATTTTTGCCTTTTCCATTTTCATTGATCCATTTTTATGGCTATTTTTTATTTTTGAGATTTTCCAATTGGATTAAGGTGTGAAGAACCTGAAAAATTCTTTTTTTCTTCTTACTATTTTTTTTAATACTATTGGGTTTTATTCTTTTTCCCTTCATTTTTAACTTTTATTTTGAATCATATTGACTATCTCACAATAGGATTAAGGTCTAGAAGAACCCGAAGAACCTTTTCTTTTTAATTTGGGGCTTTTTTTATTTATTGTCTTTTTCTTATTTTTATTCTTTTTCTTTTTTCCTAATTGGATTATAATTGACTACTCTACTAATTGGATTAAAAGAGCTTGAAGACCCTGAGTTACCTAAATGAGTAAGAAATCCATACCTTCTGGCATTTCAACCTCTGCTCCTGCTTCACCAACTGCTGGAGGACAACGTTTAGCCCAGATAATGTCGAAGCAAGATAAAGGACAAGTGGATTTAAAGGTGATTATGCAAGGAATTCAAGAACTTAAAACGAAATCGGATATCATTGAAAAGAAAATAGAAAGCATTGAACAAAGAGCTGAGAATATTGAACAAAGAACAGAGAGTATTGAACCAAGGACGGAGAGTATTGAACAAAGAATTGGGAAGGCCGACGAAAAAATTGAAAATATTCAACAAATGATGGTGAAATATGACGATGGACTCCAAAAAATTGAAGAGAAAGATAAGCAAAGAGACGAGACAACTGGAAATATTGATAGCAGATTAACAATGGCCGGTGTTTTCTTTTGTGGGAAATGGGCCCAAATGGCTCTTTTGAGTGTTTAAGGTTACAGACCCCTGACTCAACAAATGGGGCAAAGAAGGTCTCAGCAACAGTAACATGGAGCACCATTGTGGGCGTAAGTCAAAGACTGCCTATATTTGCTTGTCGGATGCAGACCTATAAAGGCCTATTGAGGGAGGCCTTCTCTGCGAAGGGTGCAGGGTAGGGACCTCAGCCTTATTGTTGGTGATTCCGAATAGCCCCCTTGCCCCTCCCCAGAGGACAGCCAGCTCCATTCGCGTGGGGGGGAGGGTGTGTGCGTGTGGACCGCTTGCACAACTGGAGCTGAGCGCACACGAGTCTGCCACCCACGTGCCTCCCCTGCACTGTGTGGCCAAGATGGGGATTGCTGGGTTAGAGAACCAATGAAAACAAACGATGCCTTCCAAAGAGGAAAGGACCTGAAATGGAAACCAGCTGGTCACCCTAGCCAGAAGAACTGAGGGCAGGCGGACAAGGCAGTCGGTTAATTGTTGTTATGATCTATTCTCACCCATGGAGACCAACATCTCGTAATTGCTTTTCATGACCGTCTTGTAGAGATCCTTCTGCAATTCATCCAGGTTGCCCCATTCGTGCTCGTTGAAATGAACAGAAAGATCATCGAAGGTGACCGGAACCTGGAAATACAATAGAAATTATCTGGTGGTCCAAATCCTGTATGCTTAACAGGAAGTAGAGAAATACCTGTTGGATAAATTGAAATTAAGCTGCATAATTTGGGGGTGGAGGGGATAGTTTATCATTAGCACACAAAAGCCTACCCTGTTTCCACAAAAATATGACCTACCCTGAAAGTAAGTCCTAGCTTGATTTTTACACGTGCCCAATATAAGACCTATCCCCCCAAATAAGCCCTAATTAAGATCCCGCCCACTCCAGCGTGGATGGGTAAAAATTAAGCTAGGGTGGGGATGGAAGGTGGGTGGAGCTGCCCTACTACTTACCTTTGGACAGTTGTACCCAGGCCTTGCACACCCCGACAACTGCCTTGCCGGCCCATTTCTTCGGAAGCTGGCAAGGGTGGCCAGGCTTTCCTGAAGGCCTCTGTAGCAGATAACAAAGCTGTGGATTGATTCAGAGCTGTTATTGGCTTCGGGGGCCTTCAGGAAAGCCTTGCCGGCCACAGAGAAGCCCCTGAAGGCCTCCAACAGCAAAAAGGAGGCCGGGAGTGATAGCGTGCAAGTGAGGTTAGTCAGTGGATGACATCCCCCCAAAATAAGACCTGATGCCTCTTTTTTGGTGGCCAAAAAATATAAGACAGGGTCTCATTTTCAGGGAAACACGGTACTAGCTTTTTCTATATCAGGGGTTACTTGTTAACTTTTAAGACTTGAGGACTTCAATTCCCAGAATCCCCCAGCCAGCATGCATTAAGAGGGGTGGGGTTCCGAGTCCCAGAATCCCCCAGCTGGCATGCTTTAAGAGGGGAGGACTTCAACTCTCAGAATTTAAAAGTTTGCCTCCAGGTTTGCAGAATTCAGGCAGCACGGGTAGTCCTTGACTTTTGACCACCATTGAGCCCAAAATTCCTGTTGCTAAGCGAGACATTTGAGTTTTGCCCCATTTTACGATCTTTTTTGCCATAGTTGTTTAAATGAAGCACTGATTATCTGGCTGGGGAATTCTGGCGGTTAAAGTCTCCGCCTGGTGCGGAGATCCCTGATCGAAATAAACGCATCTGCTTGAAAAAGGAAGCTCGCAAAAGAAGGGTCAAAATCTGCTGAACCTGTCAATCATTCAGTGGAGAGAAGGAGAACAACTGTGGGGTCTGAAGTGTTCATTGAGCTTGACACTTTTCTTGCAGACGTTTCATGACCCAACTATGTAACATCTTCAGTGCAAGGAGGGAATGGGGTTTGGGGAGTGAAGAGAAGAGAAGGAGGAAGGGAGGAAGGACAACAGCAACTGTATAGTGTTCGTTGAGTTTGACAGTTTCTTGCAGACGTTTCATGACCCAACCAGATAACATCTTCAGTGCAAGGAGGGAATGGGGTTTGGGGAGAGGAGAGGACAATGTGTGTAGTTCCCTTAGTTGGGTCATGAAACGTCTGCAAGAAAACATCGACCTCAGAGAATACTAAGGAGCTGTCAGCCTTCAAGATCTTTTCTACTGCTTTGCATCTTTCGGCTGCCATGAGTAATGGTGTGTGTGTGTGTGTGTGTGTGTGTGTGTGTGTGTGTGTGTGTGTGTTGCATCTGGGAAGAGAGCTGGAGGTGTTATGTTCTTGTGTTGTATAAATGAGGAGTGGGGGGGGTATAAATTCCTGGTCTTAAGTTTCTATTTCCTTGCTTAGCCTTCTTTCCTCTGCGCAACTGCGAATCTTTATCAAAATATGTCGAGGTCAACGGACAGAGGCCTCATCACCACCTGAAGATGCCCACACAATCATATTCAGAACTTTTAATTGGAAGAGTCTTTTGAACTTTGGGGGGTGGGAACAATTTCATCCCTTTGTATATGTGATCTGCGCGCCTAATTTCTTAGATCCAGAATTCTACCTGTAACTTCCACTTCGAACTTCAGTAAAAGAATTCTTTCCTCTAACTTATGGAATCTAAGTGTTTCTTTCTTGGATTTTGATTATTCCTCCTCCTCCTCTCCACAAACCCCATTCCCTTCTAACACTGATGATGTCCCCAGTTGGGTCGTGAAACCTCTGCAAGAAAACCACCAAACCACCAGAGATCAGCAAGGACCCCATGGTCCTGAGACTTAGAATAGCGTCCCTTTGAATGTATACTAATTGTCATACTTTAAAACGAAATTCCGTTGCATAGACAGCTCTCGAAGGGTCACTGCCTCCATCATACACTAAACATGAATGAATGAATGAATGAATGAATGAATGTACTTTGGTGCAAGATATGTTGGTATATTCATTGTCAGTCAGTCAGTCAGCTGGTGCTCCGTTCAAAATCCAAGAAAGAAAAACTTAGACTCTTGTAATTAGAGAAAAGATATCTTTTACTGGAAATCAGTGGTAGCAACAAGAGAATTCTGAATCCGGGGAAATAGGCACGTACATCTCATATATCAAGGGAGTGAAATGTTCCCACCCCCAACAGTTCAAACGGTTCTTCCAATTAAAAGTCGTGAAGTTCAGCATGCGGACATCTCCAGGTGGTGATGATTAGTTAGTTAACCTTGGCTTACTCAGATAAAGGTTTGCAGTTGCGCAGAGAAGAGAAAGCTAAGCAGGAATGAGAAACCCTCCCCAGTTTATACAATATTAGTTAGTAATACTTTCAGCTCACGACCCATACATTCCCCCACTTCCACCTCGCGTTACTCATGACAGCCAGAAAGCAGCAAAGGAAAGGAGGAAGATCTTGAAGGCTGACACATTCATTCATTCATTCATTCATGTTTAGTGTATGATGGAGGTGGTGACCCTTAGAGAGCACCGAGGATATTCCCCAATCCTCTTCCTCCTCCCTGCTTCTCCTCCCTTCCCAGCCCTGATGCTGTCACCTAGCTGGGTCCTGAGACGTCCACGGTGGGGGGGGTGTGAATCCCCACTTGCTCAGGGCCACCCAGAGGACACCCACCCACCCGCCCTCCCTCCCGCCTCACAGCCAAGCCAAGCCAGCCCCCCCATCTCTGCCCCACTCTACCCCGACCAGCCTCTTTCCCCCTCCCCTCGGTATCTCTTGGCCCATCATCCACCCCCCCCCCCGGGGCCGACCTTTGGCGTCTCCCCCTGGCCGCTCGGCGGGAAGCGGAGGATCCAGAAGTTGCGGTTCCTCAGCAAGTTCTCCAGGTTCTCCAGCCGCCGTTGGAGCCGCCCGTATTCCTCCACCAGGCCGCTCAGGGCGGCCCATTTGCCTTCCAGCTGGCTGCCCAGCTCGGTCACCGTCCTCTGGCAACCGCCCAGCTTCTTCTCGGCCGAAGCCAAGCGGCCTTCCAGGCCTAACAGCCGAAGGCCGGTCCCGTCCAACGCCTCCGGGCCTCGCAAAGCCGCCCCGACCGGCCACAACGGCGCCTCCATTCTCCTGAGGTGAAAAAAAGAAAGAGAGGAAGAAGGGGAAGGGGGGGGGGAAAGACCGTCATGCCCCGCGGCGGAGGACCTCCCGACAAGCCCCGCTCCCGAGGGGACGCTCCGTCCGCCCCCTCGCCTGCCCCGCCGCCGCCCCGGAGAGAAGGCGGGGGAGCGAGAGCTGGGGGAAGGGCAAGAGCGGCTGCCGCTTGGGCGCCGGGCGACTCCTACCGTCGGGAGGAGCTAAGGGAACGGGCGCTCGCGCACACCGCGCACGCGCTCTCCCTCCGCGCTAGTTGTGTCGGGGGGGGCGGGGGGGGAAAAAGAAGCGGGAAAACCTCCGCCTCAGAAGGGAGCGTCGCCCGCTCGAAGGCATCGGCCACGTCGGGCTGTGAGGGGAGATTCCTGAGGCGGGGAAGGA